CACTTGCAGTATTTCTCTTATAACAGCATGAGATAACTAAGACACAGTATAAGATACCAAGATAAGAGGACAAAGGCTATATAAAGGGAACAAAACATTAAAATGTTAATAATGTACTATAAAACGAATTTATAGACAAGCTGGGGAAAGGTCAATACAGAATGTGAATGGTATGATATTAAGTAATCATTGTGAATTTTATTGGGTGTGATAATGGTATTGTGTTTTGTTTTCTTTTTTTAAGTTCTTATCCCTTATCCATTAGTGATAAATACTAAAGTAATTATGAATGAAACACTATGATACCTGGATTTACTTTAAACACTCCAGAAGTATCCACGAATTATTTTCACAATTAGAAAAGTAAGTACTAAAATAAAAAACAAATGTTAACTGACTGTGGTTTATCTCTGGGCTGTATGATTATGGATAACTAGTCTTTATACCTTGCTATATTTTCTAAGTTTTCCATGATGAACACCTATAAAAAAATCAAGAAAAAAGTAGAATATGTTTAGAAAAGTCAGATCAGAAAACCAAGTTATTTATACACAGGTAATTGCAGCACTGATTACATTAATCTGGAGACAGTCCCTCTTAAGGGTCATTTACCTTTAGCCTTATCAGCTGAGTGGTTGCAGACGCCTGCATGGGGTGGTGGAACTGATTGCTCAGAGTCATCCACACAGCTGTTCTCCAGCCCACATCATGCAGGCCGGAAGTCAGTGGCTTTCTGATGGGTTCCACGGGTCTGAATAGTTTTATCTTAGGCTAATGGTTCTCAATGGGGGAAGCCCACCAGAATGAGTGCAATTTTTCTCAAAATATAATGACAAATACTGAATAGGTCTTCCTAGGCTGCAGCCACATCAATTGTCTAACAGTTCCCCAGGTGTTTCTGATGGGCACAGACGGTCAAGAATTGCTACCACTACCGAACATTCTGATCGGGGCCACAATAGATGGACCCTGATAGAACAGGAGAAATATGTGGAACAGAACTCAAATTCTTAAAAAGTCCAGATTTACTGGACCAGT